CAAAAATAGAATTATGCACACAATATTACAGGATAAATAATGGAAGTGTTTATGTCCTGTTTTCAGTAAAGACAAACGCTTATGAAATATATAAATTTCAGTATCTACGATTTTCAGTCAGTTAAGAGTAGGTTAATATGCATCACCAATGGAGACATAAAATAGGGAATACTTCAGGTAGCAACATAGTAATTCTTACGTGTAAACAAACACACAACTTTCAAAAATAGGCTAATTTACCTGTGAAACACGCCTTTCTGATATGCACCAACAAGTGTCTGCAGGGACACCAACAAGTCCGGAACGTCATACAAGTGCATTTGCATGCACGCAGACCCACCTCTGCTTGCCTCCTATTGTCTTCCAAGAAGATATAATCAAAAGCTTCAAACTGAAAAGAAGTCCATCCTCGCTTTTCATAATCAGCGCATGGCGTCACTAGGCGTAAAATTGGTATTAGACGTTTGGAACATGAATACTTGAGGCAACACGACCGAGCAATTATCGACTCCTGCTCACACCAAAAGTGCATTAAAAAGTAACGTAAGCGTACTTAAATCTGTCGTCCCCTGTTGTTTTACTTTGAATATGCACATAGTGAGTGCAGGACAACTACATTGTTAGCATTAAATGACTTCCACACCTTTTGAAATTCTACTAATGAATTCTCAAATTCCTCCCAGCTAAAGAAACGCCTTCCCAGTATTAATTCACCGAAAATTCCACTGACGTCTGCAGTGCTCTCACTCACACTGCCTACCTGCAATAAACTAAAAAGGCGTTGTCAATTAGTATCCATTTGTCTCGCAATCGTTTAAATATAATTACGTAGAAAAAGCAATATTGAAATACATCACTGAGCAATATCCATCAATAAAATGCTACACGTATACCCTAAAATCGAGAAAAGCCAAAGGACTCACGGGTTCCTTGACATCGCCAGCAACCGATAGGCCAAAAAACCGAGTACATGATAAACCAAGCCTTGTACATGCACAAAAGAAGTAAAATGAAACGTTAGAATAATCAAATTTTACATTTATTTTCATCAAATATGCTTGCAAACAACGATACCTCAACCACACAAACCTGCACACGATATCACCTACCTAGGATAAATTAAATATAAAATTAGCCGCCACTGTTCCAGCCAATGAAAGACGAGAAAACCTGAGGCGCGGAAAATTTAGCACATCATATCCTATATCGTCACGCCATATCAACGCCCGGCAGTTATATAACACTGCTAGAAATAAAGCTATTGCAGAAATCCGCAAATCAAGGATGAAATTCGAAGCACACCTAGCTCAAAATGCAAAGGATCAACCTAACAAAATTTTCTCGTACATGAACTTCAGGAATCAAACATCCAATGGTGTCCCAAACCTGACTATTGGCGATGATACAATCGAAGAAGATCAAGAAAAAGCAGAAGCAATGGCAAACTACTTCTACCAAGTCTTCACTCAGGAGTCGTCACTGCCTATAGGATCAGCTCTGGCTGCATCAGAAGAATATGGGATAGATTCCGTTGACATCGACCTAGGCATCGTGCTCAACTGCCTAAGGAAACTAGATGCAGGGAAATCAGTGGGTCCTGATAATCTTCATCCAAGGCTTCTCAAGGAGCTATCAGCCCACATAGCCGGCCCTTTGACTACGATCTTCAAGCTTCCTCTCCAAAATAGAATGTTACCGCGTGACTGGAAAGACGCCATTGTAACCCCCACCCACAAAGGAGGATCAAGATAAAGCCCTTCAAATTACAGGCCTATCAGTCTCACCAGCACTTTAATCAAGACACTGGAAAGAACCATCAAGAAAAGCATAATGGCATATCTAGAAAATAGAAGCTTATTATCAAGAGCACAGCATGGCTTCCGAAGGAACCTCTCATGCCTGTCAAATATTCTCACTGCAAGAGAAAGCTGGGTTAAATCCAGGGACAACAGAAGACCCGTTGACGTCGTCTTCATAGACTTCAGCAAAGCCTTTGATAAAGTACCCCACAAAAGACTACTCACGAAGCTGGAAAGTCTTTGTATCAAAGGCAGCTTACTAAACTGGCTCAGGGAATTCCTCATAGATAGGAGGTAGAGGGTTAGGATCAACTCGAAACTCTCCTTTTGGACGGCAGTACACAGCGGAGTGCCACAAGGCATGGTACTCGGACCACTCCTATTTATTTTGTATATCAATGAGTTATCTCTGCTCACCGACTGCCCTTTGGTCCTATACGCAGATAACTTAAAAATTTGGAGAGAGCTGAAAGGCAACAGTGACACGTCCACGTTGCAAGAGGACCTCAACAAATTGTCAGAGTGGTCCATAGAATGGATGCTCCCGATAAACGCGACAAAATGTGCAACCATGCGCATCGGACAAGCAAGCATCAGCTCCTACGAACTAGAAGGAATTACACTTTCATCAGTTCAGACTCACTTGGACTTAGGTGTCATAGTTAGCCACGAGTTAAAAACTACAGCACACTGTCGCGTGGTGGCTGCACGTAGTTTCAGGTCATTATGGGCGATTCGTAGGGCCCTCACTAGAATCACCAGAGATATGTTCACCTCCCTATATACATCTCTGGTGAGGTCAAGACTGGAAAACTGCATCCAGGCCGCCAGCCCTTGTCTAAAAGGGGATTCACACATTCTAGGAAGGGTTTAAAGAAAGGCAACACGCATGATTCTCGGAATGACTAATTTATCATACGAGGAAAGACTAGACAGTTTAAATCTCTTCTCCTTGTCATACCGTAGGCAGAGAGGAGATTTAATCACAATGTTTAAAATTTTAAATAATGACTACGGACCTGAACTATTCTCTCTTTTCCTTCCACCAGGTCGGAACACCTTAGAGGACATAGCAGGAGAGTTCAAAAGCCAAGAAGAAATCATATTGCTGTTGAGTACTGGTTCTCACACCGAGTCATAAACTCTTGGAACCGACTCCCAGAAGAAGTGGTGTCTGCAACCTCAGTTGATTCATTCAAGAAGGGTTTGGACAACCACAGAAATTTACTAGAAAAAGATTAACATATGCTTCAAGCCTTCTATTCTCAACCAGTAAATCTGAATCTGAACTTTTGTTTAAAACGACTCATGTTTAAATACATATAATTTCCGAACACAATTCGAAATACAACATATAGTGTTGGTGGTTTCGCCTTCTCACTGGCCGTTCCTGTCTACTTGCTCAACTCATACCATGTTGTATACTTTGGATATATTGCAGGAATCTATTATCCTTATCCGAAGACAGCTCTACAACCGGCACAAAGCTCCTACCAGTAGACACAATTCCAACAGTGAACACTTCTGTGGATTATATTAATAATTTGTGGCAGTGGACTTTAACAAGATATTCAAGTAACCTTTTTATTAACATAACTCATTACTGCATTTTTGACAATCTATTGTTACACTATCGTCTCATTGACTTGCATTTTTATTCGCATATTTATCATGTTATTGAGTTCTGTAGACAGTCCCCTACAGATGGACGGAGCTCGGTCGCGATTGCGTGAGTGTGAAGGTTGCTCTAATTCGATTTCACCGTATGCGTCTGATCCCCAAGTTCCTTTTATCATTTTGCACAACATAAACCCGAGGAAACGCAGACTGATGTGTCTGAAGTTTACATTGAGAATTCACTAGCCCTCGAGCGGAAAATTGCCCCATGTTTTAACCCACATATCCCAGGTCTGAAAAAAATTCTCTGAATGATTCGTATTGTGTCAGTGAATTATAGTCTTGAAGCTTCAGACTTTGAAAAGACGCCGGTATCTTCTACCCAGGCAGATGGTATTTTGTACTCTAGGCACTTCTGAACACTGCATATGACGACTGCATGGAAATGAGAGAAAATTAACGAAGAAAGGCTTCCGCGAATTTCAGTTCACTAAACAGCATTCAATGCAATATACCGTTACTTGTTGTTTCCTTTCTGAGATCATACTGCATTTATTGTTGGTCTGTCTCTAGTACATACTATGAGAAATAGAAACTGCCAAATAACTGGTGATCTCTATGCGTCATTAGTAGTTAAAAGCATGTAGGCCACATTTATCACTCAAACGTGATGTATTAAATAGCATTATTACGATGTTCTTCAGTCTGATTTGCTCTAGCTAATCAATGGAGTCTTTGGTCTCTGCTTCACCAATCAAAATCCACTTAACTTTATTTTTCATCAGCCAAATGGCTGAATGAATGCGGTCACTGTTGGGTTGTAATATTTGATAAAATGGCATGCGTGGTTGTAACAGCCCAGGCTAATAAGCTGCAGACAAATGGTGACGTAGTTCCTTGCGGTTCGTCGTATGTTATCTTTATCCGAACACCTTGATATGCGATATGGGCAGTAAAGTTTGCTCGTTATGTCATCCACTTACATTAGATTAACTTACTCGGTCAGCCACATGCAGGATAAATTATCTAATTTCTAGTCATATTCTACTACAGTGCTCAAGTCCCACTGTTACATTTGGCGCTGTGCATGTGCGTGTATGTATGTGTAGGAGGAATGATGCAGCAGCTATTGAAAGAAAGATAACACTTATATGTTATTGGAATAACTTCGGAAACTGATACTGATATATATATATCTGATAATCCACTTGCGAACTTCTGTAAACATTCTTATGACACCAGAGGAAACATTCATCGATCAACGAGAGTGATATTAGCGAATGGACTGTGATTCGTTCCAGTTGTTGCATAAAATAAGAGGACGGAGATGTAGTACCACTGTGAATTAATCACCCATGGATAGTGACATAGTTAATAAATACGCCACTTTTTAAAAAATCAGCGAGGCTAAGTTTTTCTACTAAACTGTGAGTGGTTAGTCTTCGAAAGAGTTATGCTTTTTAAGTATCCTCCTCACAGTTGGAGGTTTCTACAAACATTGGTCATCTCATCCTGCATTTGATCGCTTATTCTGTTTTTGCTCTGTTTTACTCCTTTTTTGTTGTTGTTTGTTTTCGACTGTAGATGAATCGTGGATCTATGGAAAATGGAAATTTGGAGAGAATTATTATGCTGGGAAGGTACACTCCAGTGAAAGTAGCTGGTGGTAAAAGCATTTCAAAATTAGTATGGCACCAATTGATGATGGAATAACTTTAATGTCCATTTCCTTGATGGGGTTTATTTTAGCAGATGCTTTTCCGCCGTTCTGTATTGTTTAATGCAAACTTTTAAAATTAACTAAGGCCGTTATACTTGATATTATCAATGTGTACATGAAAGTATGTGCACATAGTCGATACTTACTGTCATTCTCAAGTAGTATGTATGTATAACAGGTTGATTGACATGATTGAGTGGTTGGAGAACACTGGCATCAACCAGTAGTAGTGCATGCTAGCCAGATCGAACTGCGATCTAAACACAGGACGACAGTCACTTGGATTGATGCTGCCTTCCTAGTGAATGTGTACATATATATATATATGTATATATATATATATACATATATATATGCATCTACCCATATATATATATACATATGTATATACATACACATATATATATAAATTCAAAACTTGACTATACATCATACTATTGGCGATGTTTTAAAAAGAAAAGTAATACCAATTTATCGTGGACTTCGATTGTAGGCTAGGTTGTAGGTAGATAGAACAGTAAAATTTGCGCACTTTGGTAGCAGTATAATTCCATGATAGAGTAAATTGATTTTTTTTTATGAAAGCCCCCTGTGTTATACAGTATTACTTATTTATTTATTGATGGCCTTTTGGAGAACAGTTTATTGCTCATAATCCTATGATGGCACTCACATTGAGTGAGTACTTATGGGTAAGTGGGTGGGTGGATAGAGCTTTGAAAATTCGTGGATTCAAACTAGGTGGTTAGGGTTATACAATCATTGTGGAGTTCTCAATACTCCAGCCTTCTAGGATTACTTTCCCTCTGTAAAGACTTGAATTTATGTTATTTCTATTCCGGTTTACTCTTATTCTCTGTAGCTGTCGCGTTGTTTTCGACGACGGGAAAAGAGCAAGTGTCAAAGAATCCGATATTATTCCGGTTTATTTGCTGCCTGTTGGTGCTGAAGTAAGAGGCGTCAAAATATTTTGTGCTTTATTTTGTTGTTTTCACTAATATGTGTGCATATATTAGATCCACCCCAACTGACTTTTCGTATTTCATTTTGCCAGTATCCATACATCTACGATAATAACTTTGCAATTTTAATTCCATTATGGGTGAAATTTATTTTACTTATCTTTATTCTCACAGTGTTGTACAGTGTAATGTATTTACTGATGACCACGTTTCTTGCACAATTTATTGCTGCTCATAATCATATCAAGGTACTCATATAACTTTCTAACTTCGTTTATATAATTCCATTATTTTTCATCGCTTGATTTGATGATTGGCAGTAGTGGTATTTTCCATATTTTGGGTATGAGTGATGAGTCATTCCTGTTGCACATATTGGGTGTAGACACGATGAACCAGAATTCGGTATTCAATCTGTCTCTGTCTCCACCTACCTATATTACTTTTTAGAATTTTGACTCTACCCCACCCACCCTATTGTGTGATTGTGTGCTAATGCATTCAGTGCAATGTAGTGCTGAGCGTTTCTCTAAATTACTTATCTTCTCGGGTGGGGTCAACCATTCTAACCTTAGCTAAATTCTTATGTTCCGACAATCTGATTACCCCCGATCTACTAGTCTGTTTCACCTATGTAGTTGACCTAAGTCAGAGTCAATGCAAGGTATTTTGTGAATTATATTACTTTGTCTAATTGGGTCAACCGTCAGGGTCTTTTAGTCTACAGAGCTTGTCCTACCTGAGTGAGTTTGTAGGTTTAAATGCCACTGCCAGCCTGATTCCCATATTATTAAGAATCCCACGTAGGGAGTGTCTCAGATATCCCCTCCATCCTTATATGGTATCACAGTAGATGACTTATATTCTCTCTAATTTATGTTATCATTACGAGTTTCACAATTATTTTTCGATTTTGCTTTTGGCCTTTACTGATCTTCTTATTGAATTTTATAGGATAGTTAGTTATTTGACACCGACGCCTCTTCTTGTGTCTGTTTTGTTTCATCATTTAGGCCTTTTCTTGTGCTACTTAGTGCTATTGCTCGGTTTGTTAAACACTTAACTTAACTAAGCCTGCCTTAACAGACAGATAACGGACAGATGAGATGAATTAAAGTCTGAATATCTATTAGCAGAATGCGTTGGCTTTTTAAAAACGCTAGTGTGCAGTTTACCTTCTTCTATTCGTTTTATTTTACAATCTAACATCACAGCTAATTCTCCTTGTTCATTTTCGGAAATATGGAGAATACTACTACCAATCAAATCAAGCGATGAAAAATAACGGAAGCTAGAAAGTCGTATGAGTCCCTTGATATGATTATGAGCAATAAGTTGTGCTCGAAACGTGGTCATCAGTAAACATTACTGTATAACACGCTGTGAGACTGAGACTTCCCTAATTCGATCCTGGCGGGCTCTGACATCCTGATGCATTCGTAATGTAGTGGAAATGAGGTTGGCTGTGTCAGATAAACGAAAGAGATGATTTTCTTTGATTTCTCCCAAGAATAAAAAATAAGATGGAGCAGTAAATTTGAATTAACTCAAAAGTTAATGTATTGAGAAAAGAAGACTTACATTAATATGCATAAAACGTGGCTTATACGGTTGTGTTATGTTTGATGGATGGAAAGATAATGATAGTAGTAAGTTCAAACATCACACTGATAACTAATACAAATAACGCCAAACAAATTACGTTTGGGTAAAAAGAATGAAACAGACTTATAAAAATTGTTTGGAAGCAAGCTTTATTGTGTTTTTTTGCTTTAATCTGGTAATTCATCAGTACTTGACTGGTGAAGATTTTAAGTTCTAGATTAATTCTCTTCAGACCTTAAGACTACTACAAAACAATTTTCATGAGGTCTCAAATGTTTTAAGCCTATACGAAATTTGGAATCTAAAGGTACATTTTATTTGTCATTTATCTAGTGATGACCATACCAAAAACTGTACAGTACTACATTCTCTGAAGCTAATTACAACCTCAAATGTAATCATCCTGAAAAAGTATAATTAATAATATACGCATATAGAAATTAAACAGATTTACAGTGTTGTTTGTGCGTTGGTGGCACAGTGGTAGAATGCTCGCCGACCGTGCATGCGATCCGGGGTTAGATCTCCGGCCGACGCACTCCTTTACCTAGCGAAGCCAGTAATAAGACTGGTAAAGAGGAAAGGTTTGGCATGAGGCTAGCAACTCCATCCTGTAAAAATAAACGCAACTGCTACCGAAACTTCAAAGCTTTGGCTTGAATCCCTATGTTCCACTGGGAACGTGGAGGAATTAAAGGAAAACAATAATGTTGGATCATCAACCTGTGTAGTGTAATTGTACTATACGTCAACCAGAGAGGTTTAAAGTATACACGATACATTTAGTTTATTTTTCACTTAGGACAAATACAAGTGTATTGATTGATAAGAGAGTTAAGTAAATAAATATGAATGACAGAACAACAGAAAAGAAATGTCATCCACAAATGAAATTCTTCGATAAATAAGGTGTCCACTACTATTTATGGGTTAAACCACTTACAAAGCTAATGATATAAAATGGCTCCTAGAAGCCTTATAGTAGATTGAAAATTTACTTCACCAGTCAATTTTCATCTAAAATTTCAAACAAAATATAATAAAGTCTACTTATCGCAGTCAGATAATATGAAAATGATTTCTGGTAGAATGAAGGCAGACTTGAAGTCTGCTTCAAAGAATATACATACCTAAAATGACTAGTTTTATACAAACGAAATAGATGAATACGATAGTGAAATATATTCAGCTTGTGTGATTTCGGAATATATGAGCAGTCATTTGATGTAGCTATTCTGATCAAAATATTATGAAGGAACTACAGAATAAACCCGAAGCCTTAATAAGCTGATGAGTGATTAAGTAAAAACATTAAATTAACAACAGGAGTGTAATTGTCTTAATAACTTACTTTATATTTTCCTAAGCAAAGAAGATAAACTCAAGAAACAGGATTACACCCCTAGAGTTATAAAACAGTATAAAGCAACAGTGAAACTCAAATGAAAGTCTTAACTCACTACCATGTAAATCAAGTCTCAACTAGGGTAACCAGCACGCAAAATTTTTGTATTACTCATTACGAATATTCACTCACTTTGTTGAAGATATCTAGGTTGTCAAATTTAATCAGTTCACTTGAAGTCATGAAAAATTTGACTCTTATTAGGAAAGAACAGTTCAATGAAACGATATGTAGTACATAAAATTAGAATTTTTAAACAATCATGAAAATATAATACCTGTAAGATTCCAAAAAAACCTATTTTATTTACCTGGAGAACTGCTGACCAACGTTCTCTATTATCTATCCTTCAGAGAAAGTAAATACTGACTGTGAAGATAAATTAACATTATTTTAGAATTCACTGATTCATCTGAGACACTCCCTACGTAGGATTCTTAATAATATGGGAATCAGGCTGGCAGTGGCATTTAAACCTACAAACTCACTCAGGTAGGACAAGCTCTGTAGACTAAAAGACCCTGACGGTTGACCCAATTAGACAAAGTAATATAATTCACAAAATACCTTGCATTGACTCTGACTTAGGTCAACTACATAGGTGAAACAGACTAGTAGATCGGGGGTAATCAGATTGTCGGAACATAAGAATTTAGCTAAGGTTAGAATGGTTGACCCCACCCGAGAAGATAAGTAATTTAGAGAAACGCTCAGCACTACATTGCGCTGAATGCATTAGCACACAATCACACAATAGGGTGGGTGGGGTAGAGTCAAAATTCTAAAAGGTAATATAGGTAGGTGGAGACAGAGACAGATTGAATACCGAATTCTGGTTCATCGTGTCTACACCCAATATGTGCAACAGGAATGACTCATCACTCATACCCAAAATATGGAAAATACCACTACTGCCAATCATCAAATCAAGCGATGAAAAATAATGGAATTATATAAACGAAGTTAGAAAGTTA